ACTTTTTAATATGCAAGAAAAGTGATCTGTTTAAAAAAAATTCAAGAGACATAATCCTGGGCCACCTAGGCGTTGACCGAAGTCTTATGACCGAAATCTTAGACACCATCAAGTTAATTTTGGTGTGTGTCCGTCTTTCCCACAAAGTGTCTAACTTACCCCGCTATTTTTTTAGCTGAAAATCGGGCGTAAATTTCGATTCGTTGCTATGGCAACAATGTGCGAATGTGGCAAGATAGATGGAGGGTGGGTGCATGCATCAATCTTAGAACGAATGCAGCTGCGTCATTATTTGAAGAGTTATTCAAAATAACTTATTAGTGGGTCCGACTTCCCCCGACCTACTAATATATATTTTACAATATTTATAGGATTTTTTTTTCATATTTGATCCATTACGCCACGAAGTTAGAGAATTTATGGGGTTATTTTAATGTGAACGGGAAGAATCTATTTCTCCAATCTGAAAATGATCGAATGGGTCCTAGTATTGTGAACATCGTGACAATATCAGATATTATCATTTCAACGTCATCAACAACTCCAGCTGTTGTCAAAATAAGAACAACGCCCAAGAAAAGTAGAAGGACGCAAATCGATGCCGATGCACTTGCTCGCTTGACCAATGACAATATTTTTCTTCGCTCATCTTCGTCTTGATGAAGAATTTGACAATGTCTCTGATGTCGTAACAGAGGATAAATAAATAACCAAGAAGAATAACTTGCATGAAAAATAAAGTTACAGAAGCAATTGAAATTGGTAAAATATCCGAAGTATTATTGCAGCCATACGGAGGCAAGGATGCATATCCCATATTTTGAGCAGTGTAGTATGTTGCAGAAGCAACAAACAGCCCACACAATATAGGAAGTATGCCGACACTTAGAAATCTGGTATACTTGTTGCTCAAATGGTGTAATGCGGGATTCATATACAAACTCCTCTGTCTAAACCAGTAAGCTATAGATACAAAATTCAGGCTAATAATCACCGACAATATCTTTGCTTTTTTGATCCAAATGCAGTTAATATCGCTGTAACGTTTCCATGGCCACATGGTATTGAATTCTAATATGAAACGTACAAAAGCGAAGACTATTGACATAAAGATCGATAAATTCATTGCAATCATTTTCCAATCTCGTGATGTTGAAGACTCCGTCTGTGTTTTCTTCCACATTTTTATGTGGAAAATTGTCAAAGATAATAATAGATAAACGGTCGCAATTGCAAAAGTTATCGATAGAATTTCCCGTGTCAGGTATGTCTGTCCAAGATCACTGATGGTCGACGTTTCGTCAGCTTTTCTTGTTATTCCGTCTCTAGACGTCTCCTTGTCATATGTAGTCACATTATTGACGTATGATTTCATATGATAAATATCACCTGCTTCCACTGCTTCGTTCATTTTCGCATTTTGAAGAACAGCGTTGACTACTTTAGCCATTATGATTCGATAATAGTCCGATATCAGGTCTACATTAGACTTAACTTCCTATTTTTATATTGGGGAAAAAACAATAAATAATGTATATTATATAGAAAGGTGTACAAAATAGCTACAAGTTTAAGTTCTTCGTAACACCTAAATATAGAGGATTCAATCAAGAATTTTCAAACTATATTTTTTAAATTTTCTGATCATAACAACGTACTAATGGGGTTAGTGTCTTTGCATAAAAACGCAATTAATTTAATAACAGATAAAAACAAAATAATGTAGACTATTTTGCTTTGGAATGTTCTCTTTAAAATAAAGAACGAGATAAGTAGCTCTAGGACCCCTCTTCATTCCATGTAAGCTGAAATCAAAATTATTTCCAGAAATCTGTTTGATTACATCTTCTTAAATACGTGCAATAGGTTGTATTGAATTTTTAAATCGGGATAGTATCGGCATATGGTAGCTGTATTTTTAAAGATTCAAATAATTTAAAAACTTAGAGTTCGGCAATTACAATGTTGTTAATGGATTGAGAGCATGCCAAATCTAAAAGCTAGGGAATAAGTTATTAGAATATCGGATATTGTGAATGCCGTAATACTGTGTTTTGAATAGAATGTTTAAATTTTAGACTATTTTGAACCTCCAAAATTTTGGTTCTCATAAAAACGTGAAGGTATATTTATTTTTCTAAGTGCATGGATTGCGAAACGATTTTACTCGCTAGTTATGCAGTGTATTATTTTCTGTATGGTATGAGCTTCAACACTATCTATAGATATCGCATGACTCACCAAGAAAGACTTTTATTCATTCTTTGAACTACTTTCTACCGAACACTCCCGCCCCTTATCCATGAAAATCACCTCTACCATAATGACAATACCATGAAATATTTCATTTAGAAGCTCATTCTGTGCAATATCTTTACCATAATACAACAGGTGCTGACATTTTAAAAACATACACACATGCCTCAGATATGTCATTTACTTACAAAATATGTAGGTGGAACATAACCAGCCAGTGGGAGATATGACTAAGTCGCAAGATTCCACATAATACCTGTCAATAAAAGGTAATGAACTATCATTGTAGTATGCTATGAGTAAGTTCTATAAGCAATATAAAAAAATAGATTCTAGAAAATACCATTCCGAGGTTAGATGTCAAACGTTTCGTGAATGTAGTGGTTTAGCGCTGCTGAAATTTGAAAACAAAAACCGGATTTCAACAGCTTGTCTTAAAATAAAGAACCAATCGTCTTACTGTAAAATCATGTTGGAAAATGTATTCAACGATACAACTTTTACGGAGTACATCTTGTTCTACATTGCAATATCTGTCTACAATGTCTACAAAATTCATATGCCATATCGAGATTATTAATGTGCAGAAATAGGAAAACCAAATAAAGTGCTTCGTATGACCACGGTACATTCCCAATCATTACAATATGTAGGTACAGTCAGTAAAAGCCACTGATTCCATCCACATACCCACATCCTATTAGAATACCGCGAATACGTCACAAAAAAATACATTGCAATATTGACGATATCAATCCCACGCTTTTGCGAAATGAACATGTACCGTCATGAATACAGCATTAATTTATTTATGGCTCATTGTAGTGTATCATGTTAATCATGTTGTCAACATTTTTGTAAATTCATAATTTCTTAATTTAAACCAAGCTTCCATTAGTGGTGCCGCGACCTATTTATTCTGTGATCCTATTTCTTTGTTGAAGATCTCATAATCAAAACACCGCATCATGAACTGTGTGGTCTTTGTTTAAATGAATTAATCGTGTTCTAAACTAGGATTTGACACAATCATGCATACATTCTCACGGATAATCAAGCTGTTCTTTACAACCCAGCCCAGTTTGGTTATGCTGAATAAAGCATCCTGTCCGTCTTGGATGAAAAATGATCCCGTGAATATATGATATTATTTCGAAAATAAGAGTGCGTGTTATTCCATATCATAACTATAATGAAAATAATTCCGCATAGTATGCAATTTCACAGTTTACCGCTTTTTTACATCTATGGCGGTTTGGAAGCTTGGATAACATAATGTAATGAAGATCACTTCAAATTTTATATGATTGGGGTTATTCTTAAATAGATTTGTTGGGATAAAAAATATTTTGCGTCTATAGTTTGCGTTGAACAACACTAAAGTGGTTAATATTAAAGATAGAAAATAATATAATGGCATAAATATTTGAGAAAAATACCCGAATTCAATAAATACATAATGTCGCAAAATAGTTCACGTAAAATAATTTTCTTTACATTCAAATGTTTCAATATTATTTCATTCTGCCGATATGGCAAAATATGCATACTGGTAATTAAGGCGCGAAAACACATTTGCGAGGTATTATATAATTGTTATCTACATTTACTGTTTACAATCTTCTAGTAATACTTGAATTTTCCTATCTTCAGCCTGTCCTTCGAATTGGAGTCGTGGCTATCGTTAACAAAGTAACAATTGGACTCCGAACCAGAAAAAAAAACCAGCCATTCATAAGTTTGCCTTCACGATGAAAAATGTTTTAAAGTCATACTAAACGAAAACAGGTTCAACGAAGGATTCATATACAACAGTCCAGTAACCAGTGGTATTAGGTGTATCTGTATTATTAAAAATCCCACAAATGAGTCAAATTAACATACAAACATATCGCCCACTGACTGGTTATGTTGCACCTACATGTTTTGTAAATAAATGACATATCTGTAGGCATGTGTGTATGTTTTTAAAATGTCAGCAATCGTTTTATTAGGGAACAGTTATTGCACGGAATGAGCTCTAAATGAGATATTTTATGGTATTGTTTGCAAGGCAGCAGTTCAAAGAATAAATACCTTTCCTGGTGAGCCATGCGATATCTATAGATATAGTGCTGTAGCTCGTACCATATTATGACAGATAATATGATGCCTATTTTGTGATTAAAATTTCATTTCAATCCAACGCATAACAAACGGCGCCAACTCAAAAAAATAAATCCACCTTTACGTTTTTATGAGATTTTACGAAACGAAATTTTGAAGGTTTTGCATAAACTAGTCTAAAATATAAACATTGTACTTAAAACACAATATTACGGCATTTACAAATAACTCATTCTCTAGTTTTTAGATTTGGGATGGTTTCAGTTCAGATTTCTGGAAATAATTCTAACTTTAGCTTACATGGAATGAAGAGAAAGACCTAAAGCTACTTATCTCATTCTTTATTTTGAAGAGGATATTCCAAAACGTCAAAGCAGAGTGGACTATATTAATTTGTTTTATCAGTGATAAAATTAATTGCGTTTTTATGCAAAAACAGTAACCCCATTAATACGCTGTTATGATGAGAAATTAAATAAAAATATATAGTTTAAAAAAACGATTAAATCCAGTATGTTTGAGTATAACGATGAACTTGAGCTTGTAGCTATTTTGTCCATTTGTTTTTGTTGAATTATTATTTATTATTTTTCGGTTTTCCCTCAATATAAAAATAAGATGTTATTTCTAACGTCGACATGATATTGGACCGAATCATATTGGCTAGAGTAGGCAAGACTGTTTTTCAAAATGCAAAAATGAACGAAGCAGGAGAAAATTTTCATGTTGAATTACATGTCAACAATGTGACTACATATGACAAGGAGACTTCTAGAGACGGAGTGACAAGCAAAACTGTCGAAACGTCGACTATCAGTGATCTTGGACAGACATACTTGGTACGGGAAATTCTATCGATAACTTTTTCTATTGCGACCGTTTATCTTTTACTATCTTTGACAATTTACCACATAAAAATGTGGAAGAAAACACAGACCGAATCTTCAACATCACGAGATTGGAAAATGATTGCAATGAATTTATCGATCTTCTTGTCAATAGTCTTCGCTTTTGTACGTTTCATATTAGAATTCAATACCATGTGGCCATGGAGACGTTACAGCGATATTAACTGCATTGGGATCAAAAAAGCAAAGATATTGTCCGTGATTATTAGCGTGAATTTTGTGTCTACAGCTTACTGGTTTAGACAGAGAAGTTTATATATGATTCCCACATTACACCATTTGAGCAACAAGTATACAAGATTTCTAAGTGTCGGCATACTTCCTATATTGTGTGGGTTGTTTGTTGCTTCTGCAATATACTACACTGTCCAAAATATGGGATATGCATCCTTGCCCCCTTATGGCTGCAATAATACTTCGGATTTGTTGCCAATCTCGCTTGCTTCTGTAACTTTATTTTTCATGCAAGTTGTTCTTCTTGGTTTGTTTATTTATCCTCTATTACGGCATCGGAGATATTGCAAAATTCTTCATCAAGACGACGATGAGCAAAAAAAAATAATGTCTTTACTTAAGCGAGCAGGTGTATCGGCATCGATTTGCGTCCTTATACTTTTCCTGGGCATAGTTCTTCATTTCACAACAACTGGAGTTGTCGATGACGTTGGAATGATAATATCTGATGTTGTCATAATGTTTACAATACTAGGACCCATTCTGTCTTTTTCTGACTGGAGAAATAGGTTCTTCCCATTCACATTAAAATAATTCCCAAAGTTCCTTAACTTTATGACATAGTGGATTAAATATGGAAAATTCTTATGAATGGTATTATATATATATATATATTGTTGATGTTTTTCTTTTCTTTCCATAAGTTTCAGTCAAATATATATTTTACTTGTATTCATATATATTGTTTATTGAATTTCAATTTATATTTAACATGAAATGATTAATACGGCAAAAATCTCTTCAATGAATGTTTGAAGGTCGAAGTGCATGGTGAATTTTACAGAATATTCACTAGCTCCTGCTTGAAAAGCTGCTAACATACTTGCAGAGGTTTCCCAGTTTCGTCTCTAAACTCCTTCTCGGTCGAGTTAGGTCGACATAAAAATATTACTACGAACTTGTTTTGGGGTAGGTTTTTGTGAATTTGTACGACAATGTTTACTCATTATTGCAAATGTGAGGTGTAAACTGTTATCTGAATATTACAGCTGGCTGAACTAGGAATCTGCATGTCGATCAATTAGCGGGTCATGACCACGCTGATTCCTGGATACATATATGTTCTTAGAATAATCTACTCAATGCAAGGATTCGCAAATAGTTGAAGTCAATACAATCAGAACAAGAGAGCAATGCTGAAATACATGGGCATGAAGGCAAAAACGAAATAGTACGGGTATTCAATCTGTCACAGTAGGCTACCGGTACAACAGTGCTCACTCAATGAGAGGGGCTGGTAGCCTAAAAGTCTCATTGCGCGCAGCGCATTAGGAGCAGCGCATTACGCACAGTGAGGCCGCATTAGGAGCAGCGCATTGGGCACAGTGAAGCCGCATTAGGCGCAGCGCATTGGGCACAATGCGAGATCACATTAGGAGCAGCGCATTGGGCGCAGTGAAGCCGCATTAGGCGCAGCGCATTGGGCACAATGCGAGATCGCATTAAAGCAGCGCATTGGACACAATGCGAGGTCGCATTAGGAGCAGCGCATTGTGCACAGTCAGGATTGACTATTCATCCATCCATTTTATCATTGTTTAAGGAATCTATAAGGACAGGCCAGACCCGACTTTTAGATAGTCGCAACAGTGATTCGACTTGACTTGGTACTCGAATTTGATAGAACTAGGTTGGTGACACGTTACTGTAATTTAATAGCTGTAACTTAACAGCTTTGCCTTTTGTTGTGACAGTAGAATCATGTATGTCTGAAATTGGTCAGACAAAACAATAGGAAAATATATTTGTCTTATTGTGCCAGAAAAATTCGATGAGAATAAATTGATTATTATGACATACCGAAGATTTATAGACGACTGCAAACTATTTTGGACATCAGGATAAAAAAACATTCATATCTGCAGTTATAGCTTGTTTGTCTAAAGGAGTTAGACTATGATTTAACGAAAGCTTACAAATATACTTGTTTCGTTTCGTGAAAAGAGATAATGCCATACATATTGACAAAAACTACTCAATATAAAACCGCTGGATACTTTTCAATCAGCTTTATCATCCAAGTTCCCCACTGTTAATGATGCATTCAAAAGTTTCATTGATTCTTCAACATACCAGGCGCGATTCTCACTGTGTATGTTTACTTGCGGTTGCTTTTTTATCAGGAGGATGTTTGTTCAAAGAATTCTTGCTATGCTCCAACGAAACGTTAGAAAAACACATATGACTTAAATTTGCCCCGTGATTCCGAATCACATATAATTCAGTTCAGAATAATCATTGAAGATATAGATTGAGTTCAAAATTAATTTAAATCGTGGAAACAACACTAACATAGAGAAATATAAAAGCGATAATGCGCTACAAGGTTCAACATACTTGTGAGTATATTTTCAGAAGTGAGGCAGTATTTATTAGATTTTGATTATTCAATGTAAATTATTAAGGAAATGTAACTGGTAAACTGTTCATGGAAGTACCAGTTTATGTCTGGATACTTTTTTAAACTCAATAGGTCAAGCGCAAATCTTATAGAAAATTAAAAACAAACCATTTTCTGATTGCGGCAATGTTTATTTTAAAATTAAATCATTTTATATGTTGTTTTTTTGATTTTCCTGTATTTATCATAGTGATATTTATCATCATATTGACGGTATGTAGCATTAAATGCATATTCATGTGTGGGTGATGTACACCGATAAAATAGCTAGAAACACAAAACATGTGGCTTAAATTGTTCGAGTTGTTTCAATGGGGTAAAAGGCAATCTATGGAACTTTTATTAAACAAAGCCTGGACGACCTGAAGTATGCGCATCAAGATGGCGCACAATCTGAACTCAGGTTGTGCACAAGGTTAGGGTTCAGGTTGTGCGACATCTTGGTGAACATACTTCACGAGTACCCAAAGCCTTATACAATTTTGATTGTTTATGCCTAAATGGCTATGAGTAACTATAAAACCTTTTCCAAAATTGCCCTTTTTCCAGTTTCCATTTATCCAATAAACATTTCCAATCGTTTTTTTTTAAATATCGTCACGCTAATAACCGAATTGCGTAAGTCATTCTTAGCAGTTTTGAGAAAAAATAATAAAAACTTCCTAATGATATTGTTATGCCATTGAGAGTCAATAATTTGTCATGGTTAAATTTTTGATCGTAGCCGGATTCGAGTTAATTTGTATGACGCAGTTAAGTTAACTGTCAACGCCACTGTGACTTAGTCAGAAATGTGTCAATGACTTGGGGACAATGCACCCAATATAAAAGCCAACCAAGATGAATTGGACTCGGACAGTGAATATCACAAGTGCACGTCTTCCTATACCGTAGTATAAATTCAAATTAATACGCGCTAACCTAGAATCCGAGATGCAAAAACTCGAAAATACTTCGCCGAGGTTATTTTGCCTTTGTGACGTCACAACAGTCCTGCGGTAACAAGGATAATTCAATTATGAACGAACAATTGCACAAATGTGCATGTCATACTAATCTCCATTATTTTAGGTTTCTGGAATCTTAACAATAAATCTGAGTTAACAGACAGGTGCGCAGCAATTGCATAAATAACCATTTTATAAAAAATAAAAAACTCAAAATCGCCAAAAAATGATTTACGCAAATTGTTATTAGCGTGACGATATGATATATTTTCGGAAAAAATTATTCAATTTCTGTTTCGAATTTTTTGAATATATTGAAAGTAGGGTATGATTGTCTGGGTAACGGTTAACCGAGAGGTATTCTCTTCTGATATCCAGATATTATTGTGACGGTAAACTCCGATAATTGAAGCTCAACTAATGCTCATTGGTAATTTTGCTATTTTTTGTTAAGTGGCGTCTAATGGACCTTTCCCCGAGCATCGACTTCCTTGTTACTTCGTGACATTGGCCAATCAGCAAGATGCAAAAAGTGACGTAACAATGCCCCCTTTTTGCATCCGCTCAGACACTTTTCTCACTCAGACAGATTTTCAAGCGTGATTGTAAACATTACCTCGTTTTCGCATTTTTGAACTCTATTCGTTAGTTTACAGTTGTTTTTGAGAACTTGAATAAAAATCAGATAATTCAATGATCACTTCGATCTTTTCTAGGATTTTCAATTTAATTGCAGTAATAAGTTAGTGTAGAAATAGCTGTGATAGACTACCTGAAATTCTTTACCGGTACTTTTAAAAAACAGATTGTTTTATGCGATGATTATAATGATGGTTTGAAACACATATCCCATTTACAGGCGCCAACTCGAAAAGCATTCTTAAAATAGCCCTGACAATTTTGCAATGGTAAAGTATAGGGAGAATTTTCCGAGGGTCAAAGGTCGGGAAAGGTCCATATATTCCAGAGCGCACAATAACAACTTTTATTTACACTTAATTACCTACCTATGTAATAGCCATTCGTAAAATGATAAAACTTCATGGACACCCTATATTTCAGGTTGGATTGTCGGCAAGGTATCTCAGATGTAATCACTTTGTGCAATCACTTTCACTTGTTATGTATTCTCAGTTTTATTGTATAAATTCATTGTCCGTAATTTTGAGTCACGAAGTAGACCCCGCTGGAAGGCAGATTACTCAACAAAACATACACCATGTTCCACTTAATTGCTTCAAGAATCATTAGATGGAGCCTTTATTTCAACATTGCTGTGAATCGAGGATTGAATTTGAAAACCCAACATTTACATGGTTTTGTGACATGTTTTGCGGTTGCCGTATGCCTGACGACGGTGAAAAATGCATAAATGCGTGGCATGCGGAACTTAGTTTCACAGAAAATGTCAAAGAGAACCTCCTGAAGTAAACCACGGAGAAGATTCGAAATGGACTTGCGACGACTGTGAATCCACAGGGATACATACATACAGGATACTTTACGAAACATTTTCATGAAGTCGTCAAAAAATGAGCCAGAGGAAACGGATAAATAAGTTTCGATATATAAAGACTTCTCAATCGTTTTTATCAAATCTAGGGAGAAAAGGTTGGGAATAATAATACACGAAATGGTTCACGCAGCTGGGGTTTTGATGCATGAAGGTGGAAGTGAACATGGACCTAAATTTCAAAAAAGAACCCGCCGTTTGGTCAAACAATTAAAATATCATCAGAAGAAACTCCTTCCAGAGCTGAGACATCTGAGGATAAACTTCAAAGATATAAGCAAAGAATTAAAATATGTTATGACTATAAGTGATTAGAAAAAAATATTAATAAATAACAGTTCAAATCTCTTTCCTTTATGTTATGTGTGTGGTATAATTAAACATAATATCATTTTCCACTGCTGTTGTTTTTATTTCGCATAAACATCGAGGTTAAGAACGATATAATTGCATTCAATTCAGGATGAAGGAAAGTTGATATCATCATGTGAATTAATCATACATATTTATGGGAACAATCCTAACTTTTTTCTGAAATACATAGCAGATGTATTAGTAATTTCTTATTCAAAGCCTTGTTGAATGGGATGTATGGAATACCCCATAAAATTGGGGCTACATATTACCGGTCCGAGTCCCAGCAAATTCGATTGCAGATTCCATAAATATTGCT